GACCTGGCTGGCCTCACTGAGCTCTGCCTGTTTCTGCCTCCCTAGCTCTGGGATTAAAGGGGTGTGCCACCACCACCCAGCCTGACTCCCCTCGTTTTTAGACAGGGTTTATTATATAGCACTGGTTGGCGTGGAACTCACTATGTAGACCAGGCTGGCCTTGAACTCACGATGACTCACCTGCCTCTGGACTACTGGGATTAAAGGCGGACACCAAGCCTGCCACTCCCCTGCTCTCTTTTCATCCTCCTTAACGTAAACTCTGTGCGTCTCCATCCAAACATCAAATGCAAAAGAATTGCAAGGCTTTTTATTAGATTTTTAAAGTTAGATTCTTAAAGGGGTGGTGGTCACGTACATAGCTCTGTAATTTCTGTCCACAGCACCAGGCATGCACACGATACATATACATACATGGAGGCAAAACACACACATGCATAAACAAAGACACATCCTTAAAAACCACTAAAGAAATAATAAGATAAAATGATAGTGTTAGTGTTAGCAATCCTCTTTGAGGGGCACCTACTACTTGTAGGTGACAGCGAAGGTCTAGGTTACAAGGACATCCCTGAAAGCATTGTAGTTGCAGAGGACCAGGAATAGCTTGATTATCCCAGGCTGGATTTTTTTTTGAGGCAGAGTCTCTTGACCTAGCATGGCCTGGAACCTGACATGTAGCCCAGATCCTCTTGCTTCAGCATTCCAACCTGATTTGGATACTTTTGTGTAGTTGGTTTGTGGTTTTTAGTAGGTTAATTAAATCAACTGGGCACATGCACTCTTTGAAAGATGTCCAACCATGGTGCCAGGGAGTTGGGGTAAACTGCCTGGTTGTTGGAATGCTCCTCGGGCGAGCTTGGTAATGAAGAATCAAGTGCTGGACAGACAATATGTGAACCAGGCTAGCATGTGAGGGGGTGGGGAGCAGTTCTCAGACTGAGCTGATAAATGGGGCTAATTTCTGATGGTGACGATGGTTTCGGAAGCGGGACAGAGGGCAGAGGTTAAGCAGGGAGACATAGTCTGCTTGCCCAGGGTCTTATATTATTTGAATTTCGATGGTTTAAGCACTGTTATACAAGGAAACAGTCTCATAGCAAAGTGCTGCCTTGGTTTTCAAGAGAATCAAAGTTGACAGGCCTGTGAGTGGCAGAGCTGAGGCTGGGCAGGGGCAGCTAATTTGGGTGGGCAGCTGACACTCCTCTAAATTAAGCAGACTCCCAGGCCCAGCCCTGACTCACAGCTGGCCCCGCAGCAAATTAAGTGGAGTGGTATCCTTCTCGATTGGCATTTACACGCATGCCTACATCCTCCTTATAATCACATGTATCTTGGCTTCCATGAGCAGAGTTCAAAGCTGGGGCACAAACCCCATTTTCCCTCCCAGGAACCCAGGCTGGGGACAGATGCTTAGCATTTAAGGGGGAGGTGGACAGTGACTCATGAGGTGGTGCCTCTCCCTGGCCTTAGTCTGGTGTGAGGAAAGTCTGCAACAAGGTCACCCAGGTACAGACCGGCCCAAGACTGCCCACAGGCCGGGCCAGCAATCCACCAGGTGGGTGGGTGGGGATAAGGCACACCGTGGGTCACATTCTTTGGCCATGAAGTGCTCTGTCCCAGCTCCTTCATCCTTCACCAGAGATTCCAACCTCAGTGATGGCTGAGTAGGCTGAGGATGCAGGGTAACTATTTGCCTGAGGCCCTGGCCAGGAGGTGCTTCTGGGTGGAGCTAGGTGCCTGCTCCTTTCCATGAAGAGGCCTCAGAAGGGATGCAGACTACCCTAGACAGATAACACACTGTCTCGATAGTAGGGCAGTAGCTGGCTCTTGTTGGGTGTGCTGAGGCTCCTTGGGTGAATTTAGCCTGCTCACTGTAGCTCTGCCCCAGCCATCTTGGTGGGTCCCTCAATGAAGCTTATGCTGCATCTGCGAGCTTCTTGACTGTCTGCCTGTCTGTGACTCTGTCTCTCTGTGTGTCCAGGGTTTTGCTCTGTAACACAAGCTGGCCTCCAGCTCTCTGTCCTGCCTCAGCCTCCTGGAAATACAGGTGCCACTGCATCTGGCCCATGGTTTTCATCCTTGGTTGGGTATCCTTTATTCAAATTATAATATTTTCATACACATGATGAGATCTCTTTGTGAGGGAACCCAAGTCTAATCTAACCCAGATTAGTTATGCTTCATATTGCCTGAAAGGAAATTTGTGCCATATTTGAACTTTTAAAAGTGTTACATGGGTGCTGGAGATTCAAACTCGAGTCCTGCTTGTAGAACACGAGTTCTTACCCATGGAGCAATCTTCCCAGCCCATATTTACTTTTAATATTATTTTATTAATGTATGGGTGTTTTGCCTACATGTACCACATGCGTGCCTAGTGCCTAAGGAGGGCAGAGAGGGTGTTGTATCCCCTAGAAACGGAGTTACAGATGATGAAGAGTGGTCATGTGGGTGCTGGGAATTGAACCCAGGTCCTCTGGAAAAGCAGCCAGTGCTCTTAACCTCATAGTCATCTCTCCAGACTGTCTTTAAATTTTTTATTATTTTTTTAAAAAGTGTGTGGCAGGTGTTGGTGGCACACACCTTTAATCCCAGCACAGAGGCAGGTGGATCTCTGTGAGTTTGAGACGAGCCTGGTCTACAAGAGCTAGTTCCAGGACAGCCTCCAAAGCCACAGAGAAACCCTGTCTTGAGCTCCCCCCCCAAAAAAAATAGTTAAATAATTTTTAAAAGTGTGTGTTTTGAAACAGGCCTTGGTCCTCCAGCCTGCTTCCTGCATGCTGGAATGACAGGCCTGTGCCACCTCATTTGGCTTGTGTGCTATTTTTTTTAATGTGTCTGCATTTCAACTTCACATGAAGTCACGTGTGGAATTTTCCAGTGAAGTCATCATGTATGTCGGTGTGCATCAAGGTTCCGCTAAACTGAGTGTGAAGCCACATGCCTGTAATCTCCACGCTCTGGGAGATGAGGCAGGAGGATCATAAACTTGGCAGCAACCTCTGAGGGTCACCTGGGAGTAGAGTGACAAGCCAGGCTGATCCATACAGGGCTGGGGATTTCCAGGACAAGGGTCTTTCAGCACTGAGGTCAAACAGGTCTCTGCCCACAAGCATAGGGCCGCCCTGAACCTTCAGAGAGACCCTGAAACCTTCCAGTATCAGGGACCAGACAAGGCCTCCTTTCCATTTTCCATAACTACAGGCTTTATAGAAAAGTTATAAGAATAAACAAAGCCATCCAGGGCTACAAACTGTAATCCTGTCTTTAAAAATGTGAGAAGTTAAATAGCATGGCCCATTATCTTTAATGCCCAGCACCTAAGAGGCTGAAGCAGAGGATCGAGAATCCAAGGGTACACTGGGTTACAAAGCAAGACCCCACCTCAAAATAAAGGAGAGAAAGTCCCTGGATCCCCAGCCCCCAGAATCAAGCTGTCATTGAACTCTCATTCACAGCTGTCTAAACTTTCTTCTCTCTCCCTCTCTCTGAGCATGTGCTGTCTCTGGTTCTTTTTTTTTTTCTGTGTAGCTTTGGCTGTCCTGGAACTCACCCTGTAGATCAGGCTGGCCTCAAACTCACAGAGATCTGCATGCCTCTGCCTCGGAGTTCTGGGACGAACCCAGCTTCCTCTGAAATCTTTTATTATTATCATAATTGGTTTTTCTGAGACAGGATTTCAACCACGTAGCCTTGGCTGGCTTGGAACTCTATGGACCAAGCTGGCCTAAAACTCATAGGTATCCTCCTGCCTCTGCCTGTGATTAAAGGCATGTGCTACCATTTCCCAGACCCATTGAACTCTTTTAAGAGGTTTCAGACGTAGTATCTCTTTCCTCTCCCATGCAGAACCATGTACTTACTGAAAAAAACAAGGAGCTCTTTGATATCCACTGCCCAGTGAGCAGCATGAAAAGCTACTGTTGGAGCAGCACATCTGTCTAATGTGTCGTCCACATGGGAATTTGCCAGTTGTCCTGAGAGTGCCCCCTAAAGCAGCTGGAAACCCATGCTCACGTGCTGTGCACAGTTCTCGTTAGTTTCCTTCAACCTGGAACAGTCTCTGTTTCACGAAGTTGACATGGATGAAGGACCAGACCAGTTATTCTGTAGAAGGAATGCAGGAGAGCCTGGCATACAACTGCCCCCACCCAAGAAAGCACCGTCATGGGGACAGGTTGTGATTGCACATATCTGTAACCCTGGCACTCAGGAGGCTGAGTCAGGAGGATCATGAGTGTGAGACTATCCTGAGCTAAATAGGGAAATTGCACCTCCAAAATATATATGGAGAGAGAGAGAGAAAGAGAGAGAGAGAGAGATTGAGAATGTATGTGCCAGGCTTGCCAGGCTTTCTGTGTGTATTATCATATTCATTCTTCATTCTTCAGCATCTCCTTGAGGGATAAGTGGCAGTCATCTATATTTTTACAGGCCATGGAAAGGTAGGATCTTACCCAAGGTTGCTTAGCTATGAGAGGGTTTATTCCAGAGCACATTTTCTTAACCACTGGGATTCCTGGCCTTGGTGGTGTTTCTTTTGACTTCCAGAGCTCCAATGTCACCAACTGTGCTCAAGGTCCTAAGGCATTCTTTCCCCATACTGCCCCTTCTCCCCAGGAACCTTCAGAGGCAGGTTGATCTTTGTACTTTCCCCAGGCCTCCAAGAAAGAGGGTGCAATTAGCCTTCAGCACCTTGGAGAGGTTCCAGCAAAAGGGCCCAGAGAATGACTGGGTACACATTTAGTTCACCTTTGAGCTTAGAGCCTTTACCACCTAATCCAAGTGGCTGTTATGGGCTATCCGTGGTGACATAGACCAATGGGCTCTTCTCTGGTTGGTGTCTGTAACAATAACCGGAACTGGAGCCACAGAGGGTTATCTGGCTTCTCTTTCTAACCCTGACTAATGCTGCAGCCGGCGTTGGAGGCCTTTCTCATAGAGCTTACAACAGATTCCTCACTGTGGCAAATGGTGAGGCTGTTCAAGGCTGGCCCAAAGATGTGGTCATGTCCACCCCCAGTTAGGTCTGGTCCCAGACTTCCTCCTGGTGGAGGCTCAGCCCCTGCTTCTCTTTTGCCAGTGTGTCCCCAGCGGCTTCCTCTTGGGTTTCACTCTCTTGGTCTTTGTTTCTTTGCTTCCATACCAGACTCTTATTCATTAAACAACTATGTGTTTGAGGACCTAGTGTGTGCTGGGAAGTGTGGACCTAGCATGTGCTGGGCAGTGTGGCAGGTGCTGAGGGCAGCAGAGAATGAGACCAGAAGCCTCTGCCTCATGAAAGAAAGACAACTGGGAAGCAAAGGAGACAGACACGCAGCAGGGTGATGGCAGGTGGCGGTAAGTGCCATAGGGAATGACAATAGTTAGACACCATGGAGAGTGACCGGGGGCCTCTGCCTGACTCTAAGGTGGCTCGGGAGGGAGGAGCTAGCATGCAGCTCGCAGGGGATGGCAGTCCAGGCAGCAGGAACAGCAAGTACAGAGGTCTGGTGACATGTCTGGGGGTCAGGAGGGACTCTGTGACTGGAGTTAATGGGAAGAGGACTGTGTCTTTGGGCCAGCTTGAGCAGTGTGGTTGGTACAATGAGGAATCTATCGTAAGCTCCACAGGAAGGCACTGGAGCTTTTAAAAACAAAGTAAATGAAAGGAAGGCATGTGCTGTGACTCATGCCTGTAATCTCACCACTCAAGAGGCCCAAGGCAGGAGGATGACCTTGAGTTTGAGGCCATTCCAGGGTTATAGAGTGAGCTTGAGGCACAGCCTATGCCTTAGAGTGATGGGAACTGGTATGAAGGGATTTAATATGGAGATAGGACTTAAGTTTCATCTTTAGGCTTTTGTTCTGAAGGCAACAGAGAAGTCTAGAGTGGAGGCGAGTGCTGCTTGAGTCTTGCAGCAGTCAGAGACGGGGCCTGAGAGAGAGCATCAGCATCACACAACCCCAAGAATCCATCCATGACTCCACAGCTGCCAAGGCCCTAACTGAATCTCTACAACTCACTGGTTAACCTGTTAGCAAAACGCATTCTGAAAACGGCACTCGTGATAGTTAAAAATCAACAAAAAGTGTGGTGATTGCTGCTGGAGATAAAAGTAAAGTAAGGCCTGTTAAGTCATCGGGAAGCTGGGAAAATCATTGTAAATAATCACGTATAATAGTAACAGCAACAACACAACCCAGGTCGCCTTACGTAGCCCAGGCTGGCCTCATCCTTGCTTCTCGCCTTGGTCTTTGCACTGCTGGGAATACACGCGTGTGCATCACGTCTGTGTCTCATGGATCCTTCTCTGTTAAGATTTGCTTTTACGTTTACGTGTGTGTGTGTGTGTGTGCGCGCGTGTGTATGTGTGCGTGATACACGTGCCCATGACCCCAGAAGACAGTGTCGGGAACCAAACTCAGTTCCTCTGCAAAGGCAGTATGTGCTTAAGTAACCTCTCCAGCCCTCCTTGTGGACTCTTGGTCAGATCTCCACTGTGTGACTACTCACACCATTGGCCCTGCTGCCCACAGAAAGTAGCAGGCACCTGTGTGACACCTGAGGAGCCCAGCTAGAGCCTTTTACAACCTTGGCAGGTGTGGCAGAAGTGGATGTTATCAGGACACACGGCAATGCCATCGATCACGCTGGGCCAATAGCTTTCCGACCGGCTTATTTCAGTCGCAGAGTGCTCCCGTGAGATTACCTGGTGGAGCCTACGTGGTAGAGTGTGCCCGACTGGGCCCGACGGACCTGCCACTTACTCACTGTATGAACCTGGACAACGAATGGAGTCCCTAGCAGCACCCCCATTTTCCTTTGTGAACTGTAAACCTGGCCCCTCAAGGTTGCACGGGAGGAGCTTTGTGGGTGACGGACGTGAGGAAGTGAGGAGGATGAGGTGAGAGACAATATTGCTGGATTCCCAGGTGTGGCTGTGTGACCTCTGGCTAGTTGTTGAGCCTCTCTGAATCTCTCGTCTGTGTGACACAGGTAAGAGCAGGGTCAGGTGTGTTAGAGAATTAACATGTGATTTACTGGGTTGAATAATGTATGTGCCCTGAACTAGTGACCGTGACCTTATTTAGAAATGTGATCTTTGCCGATGTATGTGAGGTCATATTGATTAGAGTAGGCCCTTGAGTACGATACGGTCAGTGTCTTTCTAAGAAGAGGGAACTCTGGACACAAGGGAAGCTCAGAGTATGAGACAGAGACAGGGACAAGCAAGAAGTATTCTTTCTTCCAGCCAAGGAAAACCAAGGGTTACCGCAGCAACCAGGGAGGCGAGGGCTCCCTGCTAGAGCCAGCCGAAGGAGCAGGGCCCTGCTGGAGACCTCGGCTGGAGACCCCAGCCTTCAGGACAGTCATTTTTTAGCTACCTGCTTTGTGGAAATTTTGTTTCAGGACCTTGAGACCTGGAACAGCACAGAAATGTGTGCAGAGCCCTCCTCGGCAAGGGGCTGGGACCAGCAGTTGTCATTGCTGTCACTGTCCTCCCTACTCATGGCTCGAGATTGACCACAATGCCTGCAGACTCCTCTGGGGAGTCCTCCAACTCCCTGACCCCGTGTCTTACCGGCATGGCGTAGGGTGGTAGCCTGGGGTCACATTCCCCTCTTTGCCTTGCCTGGAGGAGGTGGCTGACTTTTTTTTTAATCTCATTTATTCTGGGGGATATGTGTATGCCATGACACATGTGTGGGGTTCAAGGGACAACTTGTGAGAGCCAGATCTTTCTTTCCACCATGTGGTTCTGGGGAGCTGCAGGTCACCATGCTTGGCAGCAGGCACCTTTGCCGCTTGAGCCGTAGCGACAGCTCAGAGGTGGTGGCTGACTTCTTTGAGCCCTCAGAGGGTGTGTTGAGGTTAAGGGTCCTGCATGCATCCTTGTATGAGGGGGTGGGGGTTGTCCCAGAACACCGCCCAATGCAGCGCAACCCAGCCTGGTTTCGGAGCTGGGATGTTTCATAAACCAGTCTGGCAACAACATTCTTCCAACACCGAGCTGTCACTGTGTAGTCCGCTGTGGTTTTGTGAGGCAGCTCAGGCTGCTAACCCATGAAGCCAGCTGTGACTCACAGGGACCTCAGAACTGGGAGCCGGTCTCCCCGGTGACAGTGTCCAGAGAGAGCCCTTGCCTCTCAGCCTGGAGAGCTCAGATACTAAGGTTGGGTCTCGGAGGTCTTCCTCCCTAAGACAGAGGGGGGACCCCTGGGCTGACAGCTGGGGGAGGGAGATCACCTGGGCTGAGGGGAGAAACAAGCTCAGAAGACCCCCTTCTTGTCCTGGTCACAGTTTTAAAAATTAATTGGTGGTGTGTGTGTTTATAGATCAGAGGACAACATATGAGAGTCTTCCACCATGTGGGTTCCACCTCAGGTCATTAACCTTGACATCAGTCACCTTCATTCACCAAACAAACATCTTGTTGGGCCCAGGTCATCTTTTAGGGATTTGGCTTTTCTCACTTGTATAGGGATTGTTTTTTGTTGTTTTGTTTTTTGAGTCAGGGTTTCTCTGTGTAGCTCTGGCTGACCTGGAACTTACTCTGTAGACCAGACTGGCCTTGACCTCAGAGATCCACCTGTCTCTGCCTTCTGAGTGCTGGGATTAAAGGCGTGCTCCACCACTTCGCCAATACCAGCTGGGCCTTTTTTTGGTAGTGGTAGGTTGAGACAGGGTCTTTCTGTGTAGCCCATACTGGCCCCAAACTCCTTATGTAGCCTAGGTTAGCCTCAAACTCATGAGCTTGCTGCCTCAGCCTCCTGAGTGCTGAGATTACAGGTGTGCCCCACAGGTACAGCTTAACGAGAACGAAGACTTGCTACTAGAAGTAGGGGCACCCTTTCCTCACATTTTCATCTCTGTGTCGTTTATTAAGTAGCTGCAGGGAGTAGGTCAAATGGCTCAGATCTTCCAGGAAGAGAGTTGCCCAGCATCCTTTGGGGAAAGGGAGCAGGACTCCTAAAAGCCCTCAAGGATGCAGACCATTTGTAGCAAGGTGCCTGGCCAAGTCCAGGTGTGAATGGCATCGGGGACACTTGCAGCACTTGCGATGGGGTACAGACTCAGTTTAGGTACCCAGCTCTGTGTGGGTGTCTGTGGCAGGGAGTAACAGAAAGTCCGGGGGTGTTTGGGACATTTGTGGTAGGTCAAAGGAACTTGGTAGCACAATGACCAGGCTACCTTGCTGTGGACCAAGCCATGCTGGGCATTCCCAGGCTCCAGATAGACAGTTCTACATCCTGTCTCTCAGAGTTGGAGCCTGCACCTCCTGGGGATGGGGTCATGCATCATCACGACATTGAAGGGCATCCTAGTGGAAGAGGAAGGGCAGCAGGCTGATGTGGTCCAGCCTAGCTAGGTTGGAAACTAAGGGAAGAGACCCGTGGAAGGAGCCCCTGGGGCTTCTGAGAGATGGTTGGAGATGACAAGTGACTATGGGAAACGGGAGTGGGCCTGGGGAGGCGGCTCAGCGATAAAGTGCTTGAAGTACAGCATGAGGACCAGAGTCTGGAGCCCCAAAGCCATGTAAATGTCAGGTGGGCGGGTGGGATTCCCCAGAGCTCGCTGACTAGTCAGCATGTCATGTTCTGCGTTCACAGGTCAGAGACTGCCTCAATAAGGTGGACACTGACTGAGGACGACTCCTATATCAACCCAGTAGCTGCATGAACACACATGCGCCCACACACGTAAACACACAGAGCGAGAGAGACAGAGACAGACAGAGACAGAGAGACAGAGAGAGAGGAGATGTGTACGGGTGTACGGGTCATTCTGTCTCTAAGGCCTTGAGCTGGCAGCAGCTCCCAGAGCAACTGTGCTCACTGATGTGACTTAGACCCTCAAGGCTTGGTCACCACTGATCCAGCCAGCCTGTCTGCCTCTGGCTTTGCTCACTGCACAGCTGGTGTTGGTAGAGACTGTGGTGAAGACAGGGCTGATGGGAGAGGCAACAGCAGGTCACTCAGGTTCTCAGCTATGGTAGTCCTCAGCACCACGCTCCAAAGATGGTGGTGCCCCAGCCAGGTCAGCGCTGATTCAAGACTACCCCCCAAAAAAATCCCCCGCATTTTACCTACATTTGAATTTCACAGAATTAGAGTATTATTTATTAAAAATTCTCTCTCTCTCTCTCTCTCTCTCTCTCTCTCTCTCTCTCTCTCTCTCTCTCTCTCTCTCTGTCAGGGTCTCCCTGTGTAGCCCTGCTGACCTGAAACTCACCACATAGACCAGGCTGGCCTCAAACTCACAGTGATCCACCTGCTTCTGCCTCCTGAGTTCTGGGATTAAAGGTATGGCTACCACACTTGATCTAATGAACATCTTCATTATTTGTTTATTTGCATTTTCTTGAGTGTCTTTAAACCATTTTAAAATCAATTTTTATTTACTCTATTTAATTTGGCCATGCTTGCATGCATGTGTGCGTGCGTGCGTGAGCATGCCACGGAGCACAGATTGAGTACAAGTTGTGGGAGTCAGCTTTCTCCTTCCATGGTGGGAGTCCCAGGGGTTGATCTCACATGACCAGGCTTGGCTAGCAGGTGCCTTTGCCTGCTGAGTTGTCTCATAGGCCTGAATTTGAGGTCTCCTGGGGGTTAGCCTTTGTAGCAGGGTTAGGAAATGGTGAGGATGATGGTGGTGGTCCTTAGTAACAGTGATGCCCAACTCTAACATGGACAAATAGCACTATTTATTCTTGTTTCCTTGTTACTGCTGTGGTAAAACATGGAGGAAAGGATTCCTGGCTTATGCTTACAGGTCATAGTCTATCAACGAGGGAAGCCAGGGCCGAAGCCCCGTATGAACCTAAAGCAGAAGCCAGGAGCAACACTGCTTACTGACTCACACAGCAGGCTAGTGCATGGCTAAGCTTACTTATATAACCTAGGACCACCTGTCCATGGAATAGTTCTTGCTGCGGTGGGCTGGGCTTTCCGGCATCAGCTCATCAACATCATCTCTCCCTCAGGCATTTCCACCGGCCAATCTGATACAGACAGTACCTCTTCCTTCTCACGTGACTCCAGGCTGTAACAAGTGATGACTAAAGCTAACAATGACATTGCTCACTCTCTGAATGCTTTAAGGGTTAGCACACAGTAAGTGCTCAGTAAACAGTACTCACTTACA